CTGTACTGCCTGTTACTCTTCACAATAAGATGTCTGTTATTCATTGCACTGTACTGCCTGTTACTCTTCACAATAAGCTGTCTGTTATTCATTACACTGTACTGCCTGTTACTCTCCACACTAAGCTGTCTGTTATTCATTACACTGTACTCTCTGTCACTCATTACACTGTACTGCCTGTTACTCGCCACACTAAGCTGTCTGTTATTCATTACACTGTACTGCCTGTTACTCTTCACAATAAGATGTCTGTTATTCATTGCACTGTACTGCCTGTTACTCTTCACAATAAGCTGTCTGTTATTCATTACACTGTACTGCCTGTTACTCTTCACAATAAGATGTCTGTTATTCATTGCACTGTACTGCCTGTTACTCTTCACAATAAGCTGTCTGTTATTCATTACACTGTACTGCCTGTTACTCTCCACACTAAGCTGTCTGTTATTCATTACACTGTACCGCCTGTTACTCTCCACACTAAGCTGTCTGTTATTCATTACACTGTACTCTCTGTCACTTATTACACTGTACCGCCTGTTACTCTCCACACTAAGCTGTCTGTTATTCATTACATCGTACTGCCTGTTACTCTTCACAATAAGCTGTCTGTTATTCATTACACTGTACTCTCTGTCACTTATTACACTGTACCGCCTGTTACTCTCCACAATAAGCTGTCTGTTATTCANCACAATAAGCTGTCTGTTATTCATTACACTGTACTCTCTGTCACTTATTACACTGTACCGCCTGTTACTCTCCACAATAAGCTGTCTGTTATTCATTACACTGTACTCTCTGTCACTTATTACACTGTACCGCATGTGACTCTCTACACTAAGCTGTCTGTTACTCATTACTTCTCACAGTTCCTTGGCCAAACAGAACTGTCTGTAACAGTCTGTTACTCATTACACTGTACTCTGTTGCCCTCTATATCTATGCTGGTCTTTTTTGTTACAGGAAGCAGGACGTTCAGACCATATCCATTGTGCCTGTAGGGGATGGTCCCCCTTCACCTCCTCGTACAGCTCCACCCACCATGAAGGTAGGTGATATGGTCAAGGCTCACCTGCAACCCGCCCTCCAGCTGCTGGCCTGAGAACTAGAGGCTCTTGGGAAATTTGACATTGTCATTACTCATTAAAGGTGACCTATTAGGGTACAAGATTATGGAAACTCAAGATGAATCACCACTGGATTTTTAAACATTCACTGCGGTATTACATGTCAACAAGTGGCAGATATACTGCAGGGATAAGAAAAATATATTGTTTAAAAATGTAGCCAGTCAGTTGAAGTGACAGAAAGATGTGTTTAGGGAATGGTATGACCTTGAGCTTTTTTTGGAGCATATGTGAGTAAACTGGGGATGGGGACAGATGCAGGTAGACAGTTTAACAGTAATTAATGAATGCAATGTCAGAACTGCTGTTGAATCGGGCTTGGAAGGGCGTGGGTGCTGGGACAGCCGAGCGATCGTCACATGGCCGCAGGCTGCCACGCGCCTGGCCAAATGACCCCCGCCTCTCAGTGTAGTCACTAACACGGCACATCACCCTGAGTAGAGAGAGGCGGCACCTATCTTGTCATGCACCCAGCCTGCCGACACCCTCCCACTGCGGTGTAGTCAGTAATGTGGCACGTTGCCTTGAGCAGAGAGGCGGCCCCTGTCTGAGACTCCCTAAAGAAACCCTCTGAACAAGCAGAACAATGCATAATCCTTATTGACCGAGATCACATACTTACATACCGCACGGCTTGTCAGACTGGTAATGTGTGTGTGTGTGGGTGTGCACGTGCGCAGGTGTCTGTGTGTGTGTGTGCGCGCGCGTAGGTGTGCGTGTGCGTGTGTGTGTGTGTGTGTGTGTGTGTGTGTGTGCGCGCGTGCGCGCGTGCGCGCATGTGGGAGGAGTCCTGTGGAGAACCTCCTTTTATTTGGACATAATGCGACCGTCCCAGTTTCAACATGAAGACAGAAAACAAGAAATGAAAGTCGTACATCCTGATTGTCGCTGAAGTAAGCTGACCGACAGCTCTCCAGGAAATAAATGTGAGAGAAAGGCAGGAGGCAGCACAGAGACGCGCCACACCGCGGGGAGGTGGTAGGACAGTGGTAGGACACCGAGCTGATGAGCGGCAGCACTGGCCTGGACAGCAGGGGAAGCGTTTCACCCAGAGGAGACAAAGGGAAGCGATTCGGCTTAGTAATCACCTCCGAGAAAGTAGGAAGCCAGCAGGCCATGAAATAATGTGCATATGTGAGTGTGTATTACAGCAAATGTGTCTTTTGTGTGTTTCTGTCAAATGTATTTGTTACCTGTATATCCAGGTGTAATGGGTATGTTTCCTGTATGAAACAGTATGTATGAATGTGCTCCTCATATCAGCTGTTTGTGTGTTTATGTGTGTAGTGAGTATGCATGTTGTGTTTCTGCTGTATATATGTTCTGTGAGTATGAGTTGCATATGGAAGCCATGTGTTTACATGCCAGTTGACAGTGGACATATATGTGCAGTTCTGTACCAAATGGGGGAAGGGGATAGGGAGGTGGGGTTAGGGGGCGGGGCTGCAGCAGGTGGCTACACCCACTAAAAACTGTGGTGGTCCACAGAGAGGTGAATTACCAATCAAACGAGGCAGGGGAGTGGCTGGGGACCCTGCACCTACTGCACTGTGTTTTCTCAGCTTATCTGCTGTGCTCTTGCGCGAGAACGTGAGGCTGCCGGCGAGCGAGCGTCATGCGCACGTCCACCTGCTGGCAGACGGTCTGGTTCATGGTCATGATGATGAATGCCGGTGGGAAGCGGCCAGCAGCGAGTGCTGGATCCCGGCTCCCCAGGCGCTCTGTGGTGTGGGGGCGGTCCTGGGTCCACACCTGTCGCCCATCTGGCCCAGCGACCTGTATTGACACAGCAAGTTGGGCGCGTTGCTCACGGATCAGCGCCACGTTAAACATTGACATGTAGTCGGCCCTCCTCCTTCTGCTTGCTCGTTATATCCCAGGTACCAGGGGCCCCGGCTGCCTGTCCTCACAGGACACGCCTCCTCTCCCATAATCCACATGAATGTGGCGAAGCTCAGCACCAGGGCCTCAGCTTGGCTGTCTTTCCTGGGCTTGGTGATGGTAACATGTGGTGACGGCCGTCTGTGTGCCGCTGCTCTAAGCCACTGGCCACGTTTCCACCAACATGGAGCTGGTGCTGGTGCCGGTGCTGGGCTGGTTCTCACTTGGTGCCTTTTGAGAACCAGCCTGCGTTTCCACCAATTTCAGAAGCAAACGGAAGTATAAGTGAAAGTAAAGGTTTATTTCGTTTTTTGGACTTATTTTGCCAAACCAAAATAAACATTTCCAGAGTACGACTCATACTACTGTATCCACTTTTGTCTCCATTTTGTCTCTGTGTGAGTTTATTCTGTCTCACTGTTTCACCACTTTTAACGTTAGCGCAGCACGTTACGGTGCCACATTCTGAGCCCAGCTTTTCTGTGGTGCCGTGCTGGAGTCGTTTTTCCTGGCCCAGGGCCATATTTTTGTGGTGGAAACGTGTGGAACCAGTGCTAGACTGGGAAAAAGTCCGACACCGGCAGCGCGTTGGTGGAAACGAGGCTACTGGGGCCTGCCTGTGTTTTTAAAGGCCAGTGAGGTTCTACCTTTAAGTAATTCTGATTTTCACAGGAGCCCTTTAAGGCAGATGCTCCCCTTATCGCATTAACCTTAATATCCTCATTCCTCTCTTGCTTTTTCTGCCACATTCCTCCTTGTTGCTGTTTTCTCTTCAGCGCTGAACCTGTTTTGTTCAGAGTGGTTAGGAATGTTGCCAAATTCCCTCCGGTGACGGCTGTCCTACACACCCAGTGCCTCTTGGGATGCCTGTTTCTCCTTTGTGCTCGTCACCTTGGCATCTGCAGCTAGGCCCCGGGGTGAATTTACGCATCGGGCCCTAGGATATGTGACTCCCATTAGCGGTACAGGACACCTTTCGTCGGGCTGAGAAGTGTGGCATTGTGGGATACACGTGGTGGTTTGGAGATGGCCCTACCTGCCTTTGGACATTGATGCAGATAGCAATATATTTCTTAAACATCTTAGTAATTAAAGGTCCTTTTTAAATATGTAAATAATGCCAGTTCTATGCCATGCAAGTAAACAGAGTAATGCCAAGTATGAGTAGCCTAATGAGTCGGCCCGTCAGCTCTGAATATTGTGAGGGCTGTAGCTTAATGAGTTGACCTTCTGGTCTGCAATATGGTGAGAGATAAAGGGCCTAATTAGTTCACTGTCGAAACGAGCCTGGTCAAGGGTCTTGGGTCTTAACCTTCACCCTTGTTCTCTCTCTGTCTCACAGTCGGCCGAGTTCTTTGACATGCTGGAGAGGATACAGGTAAGACTCCGTGCTCCCGGATCACAGTAGCCCAGAACCAAATCCATGCTCTGTGACTGAACTCGGCTAACATTAACCCAGTGGTACACTCTTCACCAGTGATGTTAAGGTCAATGTTAAACACTGATAAGGATTAAGATGTGTGCTTCTTGGGTGTAAATTATGTTGTATCAGCTGTCCATTCATTGTTAAAGCCATGGCCAGTAAAATTATTTGTTTTAATTCCAGAAACAAAAACATTCACAAAACGTAATTGAAACATACTTGGACTCTTGATACGGGGCATTCACACTGCTGCCCAGATTGAGTGTAGAAAACCCATGAGCTGCTTTTGGGTTTGAAGATGCTGTGTATCCCAGGCAGCCAGCTCTGAAGGCCAGTGGGGCCGTAAGAACTTCTTTTTTAGTGTGAGATGGAGCGGATGACTCCCCCTGCTGGCCGGTTTCTGATCAGCACCGTTGCTCATAGTAGCACTGGAGACAGATGACAACAGTGACAATGACAAACAGCAGCTGTGCTGCTCTCCTCTCGCATAAAATGACTTGTGGTAGAAATGCATGATGAACGAGCTGTTTCTGATGGAGAGGAGGGCCTGTTGCCTGCCTTCAAATGTCAATAGGCTAAAACAAATGTGTGTGGAAGATTGTAGATATTAATGTGAAGGTGTTGCTGTCATGTCTGCCCCACAAAACCCACTCCACTCTTAAGCAGGCCCCAAAAACTGAGGAGATGACAGCCAGCTCCCAGAAGCACAAGGTCTGACGAGAGTGCGGGCGTGCCGTGTGCTCACGTGTCTGTGCGCTATCCATGTGCTTGGCTGTGATGGCAGCTCCGCTAAAGGTGTTAGCCGCGTGTAGCACCCCAGCTGTGCCCGCCCAGGTGCCCAGAGCCGGCTACCAACACGGGGCATGCTTTAACAGCCTTGTGAGTCTCTGCAGCTGAGAATGTTTGGATTGAAACTGATTGGTCATCAGTTCACTGGCATAAAGGGACTGATATGAAGGTAGAGGAGTCTGCATTTCACAGACAACTGCATAAAAACATGGAGTTTGTGTCCTCACCTGGGGGCTTACAGGGCTAAGATCTAGGTGTCTAGGTGTCTGTTATTAGTTGTTTACTTTGTGTGTCAGTGTGTTGCCTCTGCACCGTCCCAGTGGTGATGCGCTTTCTCCATGTGCTTTCTTCTTACATCCAAACACCGGCATGATCCATTTTAACAAGGAAGATGTGATCGAGATAGATCCGCTAATGGTTGTTGAAGGTGTGCTGCTGCGTTTTGCTGAGTTGGTGCTCTGATTAATCTGTGCTGTCTCCCCTACAGGACGACTATATTCCATACCCGCGGATTGAGGAGGTAAGGCTTTGCGCACACACATACACACACACATACACACACACATACACACAAATACACACACACACACTGTACACACATACACACACACATACTGTACACACACACACATACACACACACACGCACGCACACACACACACACACATACACACACACACACATACACGCACACACACACACACATACACGCACACATATGCACAGTCAGGTAAACATATTTTTATGGCGACCGCTTATTATTTTCTATGGGAATAATGCTAACGCTAACTATGACAACCTTAACCCCTACTCAGCCCTAACCATAACCATAAGTAACCAAGCAAAATACAAGAGTTTTTGCATTTTTTGTTATTTCATTGCAGTCACAGATTTGTATTAAATTGAGTTTTCCTGGTCCCCATAAGGGAAAAAAAACAGGTATTCATCACATTGTGGGGACATTGTGTCCCCATAAGGTAAGTTATACCCACACACACACACACACACAATGTGTATCTGATGCCACAATGGTTAAGCTCACCAGCTAATTATAACATTTCTTAATTGTAGTCATGGGGCGGCAAACACCCCTAGGACCAGCGTTTGAATCTCTTCCATGGTTCTATGCATGTGGAGTTTGCATGTTCTCCCCGTGTCATCATGGGGTTTCATCCAGGTCCTCCGGTTTCCCTCCACAGTCCAAACACGTGCTGAGGTTAATTGGAGTTACCAAATTGCCTGTATGTTGTGCGTGTGAGAGTGAATAATGTGTGTGTACAGTATGTGCCCTGCGATGGGTTGGCACCCCATCCTAGACTGTCCCTTGCCTTGTGCCCATAGGACCCCCCACAACCCTGAATAGAATGAGCAGGTTCAGAAGATGGATGGATGGGGAGTTGTAGTCAAACCCAAGCTTAGCTGTCATGATGAGTGAGGGCTTGTTTTTTATTTGTCACCCCCAGGTCCTGGAGAAAGGCAGCCCATACCCCCAGGTGATCCTGCCCCAGTTCGGGGGCTACTGGATCGAGGACATGGAAGCCAGCGCCGGCACCCCCACGTCCTCTGACAGCAGCCTGTGTGACGAGGACGATGGAGGGGGACGTGGCCCCGAGGGTCACTTAGGCTTTCGGCTGGAGTGTGACAGAACAGCCCGGACATACCGCAAGCACTTCCTGGGCAGGGTGAGCCCCAGGGGACTCGCTTCCTGTTTCGGTCAACTGACATTAGGATATATTTAGTACTGCAATGGCTGCTCAATTACTGTATGTGACAGCCGACCCTGTCTGTCATTTGGCACCCGGCACCACTTAAATCTAGATTCTTAAATACTAATTTGAATCTGCTTAATAGCAGTGAGGCTGCCTGGTGTCATATTACCAGAGTTTGATGATTCTCTAGGTCACGCAGAATTACAGGAGATGGATGTTTTTGGGTGACAGTACTGGCTGTTCTGGATCGCTGATTGAAATGAAATAGTGGTGTGTCGGTCTCCTGAGTGCCAGAGAAGAACTCTGATCTAATTGTGGAGTGAATAGCTTGAAGAGGGAGCCTCTCTGGGTCGGGTGGACTGCTTCATGCTCTCTCCTCTCTCTCCTGTCCTCACGCAGGAGCACCTGAACTTCTACTGCACGGCAAGCGGCCTGGGAAACCTCATAATGTCCCTGAAGCACGAGGAGGTGGAGGGGCAGGAATACCTGCGGATCATTCTCAGGTTGGGTGG